AAAGGTTTTAAACTTATTTTTAGTATAAAATATGTCCTTGTTTGAAATAATAATTATTCCCACCAATGATAAAATCTTATTATGAAACCAAACTAAATATAAATGATACCAGAATGCCCTTAATCAATTTTCTTTGCTAGAAATGCTAGTTATATGCTAGATCATAACTCTAGCAAACTTCTGAACAAGACAAAGGCAAAAGAGAAAGTGTTTTAATCTTGGTCTTATTACTTTCTTCAAAATAAAGAAACATACGCATTGAAGACAAACAAAAGCTATTTCTGAAGCATGCACAGTTTGTTTCATTCATGTGAATAGAGTATTTATAGCTCACAGTAATTAAAACAGTAGGACAAGTAGTAAGTACAAATTATTCTTTCATCAGTACACAGTTAAACAAGTCACTGCAGTGACAAAATAGAAACACGCACAGCAAATTTAACTATGAAGCTAGAATTTAAAACTGCTGGAGAGACACTGCCACCTCTACCTCCTACACAGACACATAGAAAGGAAGGAATAGCTCAGCTCCTTGTAGTGCAGATGATCAATACACAAAAGGCAGGCACAGAAAGCAAGGAGCTGTTAGTCAAACTCATCGGAGCAAGACTGCTCCTGAGACTGGAATATAGAGAATGGAGGGAGGGAACCAGAATTGACTTGAACAACATGCTTACAATAAATACTTCTGTTGAAAAAACCATGCTGTGATTTGAGAGATGTCATTTACCAGAAATAATACCAAATCAGCTGTTTGTGTCATGCTGTGCTTTTCAAGAATCTGTATCAGCCCTTTATCGTTTCAAGTACAAAACCAATTATCTCTGTTAAGCGTCGCAGGGAAGAAACACACATCTAGGGTGGCCATGAGAACCCCTCATGTTGGAATCTCAGAGGCCTGCTCTTACAGACCTTTCTGCAAAGACTGCCTTAATCCCCAGCTCTGGCAGTTCTTCCATAATTATGCTGCTGCTGGATTTTCACACCCATTTATTCACCACTGTTTTGCCTTTTTTTTTTTTAACTCCTCATCAGCACAGGCATCCCAGGAAGGATGGATTCTGCCTGGCTGTGGATAAGCAAGATCCTTTCTGCACCTTTCACTACTGCATCCACTGCTATTATTCCTTTGTTCAGTAAGATACACGGTTGTTTTAAAAGGTATTTAAAATGGAATGTTTATGGGCAACAAGACATACTTACAAACAAAACTACTGGCTTTAATTTTCTTTTTTGCTTTCTACACATTTATGTGGTCCCATAAAAGAGCTTCTTGTGTCTAGAAGCAATGAGTCCTACCCATCTTTTCCAAGAGCAGATTAGGCAGAGATAGACTGTGAACAGTAACCAAATGTTTGTTTACATAGTATTCTCATTCACCTTTACAGTTATAGCAAAGATCTCTCCTGCTCTAGCCCAGGCTAATTTAAAAAAAACCTTTTAGTAAGTACTTGCAATGGTCAAGATTTAATATGCAACATGTCCTACATACCTCATTGGACTGCTTCCCACTATATGACATTTTCTTGATGGCCACCACTTCATTGGTGCGCACATCACGTGCCTGTAACACAGAAACATGAAGCATCAGTGTCTGCAGATCATGAATTCCCACAAGATGGAAATCAAACATACTCATAAAAACCCCCTTTATCCATTAGTTAATTTTACAGAGAGTTTTACTGAAATATCATCCAAACAGAGGTAAGGCTCAGCTACCTTGTTCCATTCTCAGTCCAGTAACATTATCACTTACAGTGCACAATAAATGTACCTGGGTTTTCACACTTCAAAGGCAGACTGAGACTGCAACAAGCCAAGATAAGACAAGAAGTTCTGTTTAATTTAGCATCAAAGTAATGGCCAATTCATTTTGGCCAGACAAGACCTTCACCTCCCAGGAAGGACAGCTTCAGGCAGGACCCCCTCCTCCCCTAAGGATTCCAGCAGCACAGGGGGAGCAGAGGAGGAAAAGACCCCCCGAGTCTCTCTGATAAGTATAATCAACTTGTATATGAAGCCAAATGATATAAATCACAATAATGTGCACCTCAGCATTCACTGATGACTGATAAAATGCTGATTTTTAATGTATTTGTACTATCAACCACAGCCTATCAGAACATGCATTAATGAAGTATCGGGACTCTACCTTTCGAAAATAGGTTTTTCAGTCATGTTTTAATTCTGCCATTCATTAGATTCCCAGAATTCCCCGTCAGTCTTTATTTCAACTAGTTATTATAAGCTTTATCCAATACTATTTTTAGTTTTCTTTCTAACAGGATCCTTCCCAGTGTCTGGCTGATGTTACCTCTAAGGTGGGGACACACACATCTATTTTTGTTTTTCGAGACAAAAAAGGAAGAACAAAATTCTGCTCCCTGTATCTTTACTAATTTGAGACAACCTTTGAAACATGCAAATCAGTGAAGACCTGCAATAAAACAGGCATGCAAAAGACTAGAGTGGAGCAGAGGGAACCCAGCTCTAACAAAAGGGAGTGGGTTATTCTTCTGCTCCATCTGCAGTGCTCCTGTGTAGTGGATTTCCTGTGTCAAGTGAAAGCTGTTATTACACTGCAGAGCAGGGTAGGGATAAGACCAAAATGATTCAGAGGTGCCAGACTTTCAGTTTCTAAGAAATTAAAACCATGAGCTGAACCACCAAAATTCATGTCAGTTATGAAAGAAAAAAACCCAACAAAAACTTTCTGCCACTACAGGATGTAACAAACAAAGAGAAAACAGTGGAGACTCTCAAGCAGTTATTGTGTCAGACAAATATACCACCCCTTCTTGGGATCACTGCTAAATGAAAAGCAAGGCAGGTACAACTAACAAAGACTGAACCGCATTTTAAAAAAGGCAGGGGGACGTTTCAGCATTATATTTTCTATTTGTTTATTACTCCCACATTTATTTATCATCAACATTTTGGGTTGTATACAATGAAAATAGCTTGGGGAGGTCTGAGCCCTGATTATGTTTGCCCAACACCTCCCGTCCTGCAATGTTGAGAGACAGAATCCTCATAGCTGCCACCCCAGGGGTGGTAAAACCATGGTGTTTCATTTGCTCTTTTAGTTTCCTTGTGATTTTGAATAACTGAAAAAAGGCCTGAAGATCTTACAAGGTCAGCTAACTTAATCCAGATGAAGGAGGCTTGGGTTATGGCAAACATTTATGCACACAGATTATGTTCTCCCCCAAAAACTCCATTTAAAGGATCAGTCTCTGGTGACCAGAGTAACTTTAGCAGTGATACAAGCAAAGAAAAGGTGGAATATGTAATCAGCTTTGGTAATATGCTTTTAAGCAGCTATTAACTACAATCCAATATTGCATTGATTAGAGACAGTTTAATTGTTTGCATTAGAAGAATCAAAACCTTGTTAAAGAAACTTAAGGGTTTTTTTCCCTGGCTTTACAGAGGAATAAAGGACCCAAGACATACTCTCCCCTACCTCAGTTTTCTATGCTTATTTAATTTACACTAAATTTCTCCCTCCATGCTGTCTTTTCTCATCTTTTGGGCTTCTGCTAGAGGTATCAAGTGCATTACATGAAACAGTTTCAGATTCAAGATCTTAGACCTGCTACTAGTAAAAAGATACAATAATACAACACAAAACGTGTAAATTAAAACTCTGTCACACAGAAACAGTGACAGCTTATCTTCTTTGTTGGAAACTCTCTGACTTGACAAAAAAAAGCCCCCAGTGGGCTGGAGCAGTGTGGTGCATTGCTTACAGCTGTCTTTTCCAAGTGCCAAATCAGAAGTACTTTCTGTCAGAGAAGCACAATCCAAACGCCATCAAGGAACTGCACTCTTTAGTGAATAAACACCAACCTAATGAACTGCTAGTTTAAAATGGTAGGGGAAAAAAGAGAAGGAAGGGCCTAGAAATTAATGACCTTTCCTTTTGGTCTCCTTGCACAAGGACAATCAGCCCTTACCACAACAACATTGTTCAGGCAGGCTGCAAATGCCACCATGGCAGCTCCCAGCTGATCTCTGGGAATGCTGTAAGCACACAGGGTACCTCCAGCTACCCGTGTGGTACATGCACACTTCTAAAAGATACAGCACCCTTGAAAAACCTCAACATTATTTCCACATAGCAGGAGGACAGATTTGTTCTCTCCTTTTATATCCAATCTTTAACCAAAGTGAGTAAATGAGATGAAGAAAGGGCTGCAGGTGAGCAGTTTCCTTAGATACTTCCTCCCCCAGATCTCTTCCCAGACACTGGTGGCTCATAGTTTTAAGCAGGGAACAAAATTAAGAAGCTTTTCCTAATTAGTTCATCTGTGCTGCATTAAATTTGTGCTGGAAGGTTCCCAACGTGGTCTGCTGCAATTATTAACAATGAATAGGCATCTCATAAAATACTGACACAAATGGCTTTCTGAAGGGAAATTGGCAGGTTTGGCCACACCTCCTATAATTATAAATGTGAAAAGGTTTTCTGAGGAAAATGGTGTTTTAATGAAGGTCTCTCAGTATGCACTTTGGTTAACAGCAACCTGCAAATGAGGTTACCCTGAGACATCCCACCTCCAGTTGAGCTATAGAAGCAGCCTGGGAAAAATTCTGCTGTCCAGACGTTCATGTCAAGTAAGTTTTATGTAGATGAATACTGGGATTTTCGCTTGCAGTAGAGAAGGATATGACAGGACAAATGAAAACAAAAGCCCCAACATTCAGGTGTCAAGCACAAAGAATAGCTTTAAGGGAGCCTAGGGGTATGCACAAAGGGAGAGAAAAGTCAATTTCTCTTAAGGGACAAGAGATGATAAGGAGAAGATCAGAGCAAAAGAACTGCATAGCCAGTCAGAAGCAATGGAGCCAAAGTCCATGTTTTAATTTGCAGACAAATCCCTGCTTGCAGCATAATGATGCACCTACAAGTACCAGGCAAGGGACCACACTCCCAGTTTCTCTTTCTAATTTGTATGCAAACATCTTGCAGATACTGCAAGTCTGAATGGACTGGGACTGCACAGACACACAAGAAAACTTCTCAGCCCCAAACAGCACAAGAAGATTCACAGCAGTTTCTTTTCCTCAAAACGTTCAAAAATACCCACAGTTTAAAGATAAAAAAAGACACAGCTAAAGTTCACAAGTCACCAAGCTACTCACAAAATAAACTGCTCCGAAGCTTCCATGGCCAATCTCTCGGAGATCTGTGAAGAGCTTTTCTGGATCTTCTTTGAAGAAGAGCTCTGCAATTTCGGGGTCCTTCAGGCTGCCCGCTCGGCTGGTTGATGGCATCCTGCTGGGCAGTGAGCCGACCGACTATCTGGGTTTAAAGTGCTGCCTCAACCCTTGGTTCATCTGTATGAATGGAGCCTCTTCAGCATGGATTACTGCAAGAGAAAAGATTGAAATCCTTCACTGATTATCCTCTTTGAGAAGAGCCAGAAACAAAGCCACAACAGAGCAGCTTCCACTACCACAGAGCAAGCATCCCTGTTGTGTGAAGCAGTGCAACCTGTATCTGCTGGGACAATGTCACAGTCTCACTGTGACACAGTCAAGTGTTTCTACAGAACACAAACCAAAAGCAAAATACAAAACGAGACACATTCTTTGCTCCAGCATCTGCTCAGTCACCTGCAGAGCTCAACAGAACCTCTCTGCCCTACAGTGATAACCAGTTTGTCACAGCGAATCCATTACTACCTTGACATCCTCCCCCAGAAGAGCTGTCTTTGCAAGACAAGGTGTACAAGCCACCCCTATTTATTAATCTGTTTTTACATTTTTAATTCAGCTCAGTATTGATTTCTCCTGCAACTGTATTCCAGTTAAGCAGCAGCCAGTGATCAATTTTCACTCCTTTCAGCATCCATGTGGAGGACTCTCTAAACCTTCTCCTTCCGCACCTGAAGTCATGGTCCTTGGTCTTTTAATCATCTCTAAATTCAGGATCTCCATTTTGAAGAGCCTGCTCTTCAGATTCACAACGCCCTTCTCTAGAGGAAGAGCATCCAGAACAGGAGATATTCCGTTCCTCACAACGTTCTACTCTGCTTCAGCAGATGCAAACATATATTTTAATAACTGCAGTAACACATGATGCAGCCTTCTACAACAGCCCCCTGACAAACACTTTCTTCACAGGAACTTGCAACTTCAGATGCCACTGGGAATGTACAAAATCCTTTGTTTGCATCATGCACTTGCTTTAATTTACTCAAAGTGTGTCTTGGAATCTAGTCAAAACCAAAGTACTTTCAATTTGTGCTAAGATCTTCCCGCATCTTTTCAACAGGTGAAGCCAAACAACCATGACAAGTAAAATCTCGTATCTCAAATCTGTTTTTAAAAAAAATTATTTTACATCTTTATAATGGAAAGAGGACAATAAACTTGAGTTTAACCAACATATCAGAAGGCCCTATCCCTGTCCATTTTTCCTCCTTTTCAGGACAATCTAACTCCACCTTTCTCCAAGCCTCTTGATCATCAATGAATTATTTGTTTACCCTTCCCTGAAGAGCAATTCCTACAAGGATGGAAAAAAAGACATAGTCCTGCATGTTCTGCACAGTGATACTCTTCTCTAGACAGCTGCAGCACATGGAAGTGCCAAAGACTGCCAGCTCCTTGTTAGTTCAGGTAAGGGCCAGCATCACTGCAAGGAGAGCATGATTGTGTGAGAGGCAGCCAAGACATACCTAGTTGTAACAGCTGCAAGAGTCTCCCATTTTTCTCTTACAGATGTGTGGGAGAGAGAACTCAGGGAAGGGAAATTCAGCATTTTCATAGCTTTTCTACATGCAGTCAGCATTCAAAACGATTTATAATGCAACCCAAAATGTGTTTTCACGCCAGCCTGCTCACAGGGGCTAAGGAAAAAATAACATTCAAACCCCAGTGCAGGACACCAAGTATAAAAACATACATATATATAGTTTTATACACACACGTATTTATATATATAAAACCATATATTTTTATATATAAATATCACACAGAAAATATGCAGCTTCTACAACTCTACTATGCTGCACTCATGAACACACACATACTTTTTTCTCAATGCAGAACTATGTTAGGAGCATTCAGAGCAGACAGCACCAGCACACGACACCCTGAGCTGCCAGTGAAGCTGAGTGAGATGCACAAGAGCAGGACTGCAACATTCCCACCTTTCATTGCATAAGACAGGAATGAACACCGTGTGGGAAGGGAAATAATTAGCTTCAATTCAGCCTGTACCTGAAGCATGCTATATTTATGAATACTGGGAGAAAAGCTGGGGTTTTTGTTATTTTTCTTTCTTTCTTTCAAGCAAGCCAACAATATTCCACTTGATTCCAGCTCTAACAAGCACGTAACACTGAAAGACAACTGTTTCACATTTACAGCTCCTGATGAAACAATGGACAAAAAGCATCAGTCAGAAAAGCAAGAGAAAGGAGCTGGGGGAAGGGAGCTGATAACCAGAGCACACTCAGTGTTATTGAAGGAATGTTTCTTGGATCGACGGTAATGATGTCATGTTCCATCTTTTAAGAAGCATCGGATTCTTACAAAAAGGACATTGTTGTTCAAAAGCAACTGCTGCAATCCCAGAATGCCCTTTTCCCTA